TTTGCCTCATAATCGACTTAAATATTGGTAACGGTAGGGTCAGTACTATTGCTAAATGATCCGCAAGGTGGCGCTGGCGTCGAGTTATTGTTAAAAATCGTCAAGTGAAGTCATTCGGATACACCAGGCATCAAAGTCAAATTACCACCATTAAATCTACCACCATAATCATTGCGGTCTTTGATTTACGGCGACTATACAGAATAGAGACAATTTTTGATGAATGCCTACAAATAAAATTGTAAGACATTTATGGTATTTCGTCTGAAATAAGTCGTATGTATATTGGACTTCTGTGGACCAATGATACTCACCCACTTTGAAATTGCCAGATACAGATTCAAGGACGATTCATCATCGTACCGGATCATTGTTGTCGGAAGAACTTCTTCACGGACATAAGGATTTCGTTAGGTTATTTAAGACGGCAATAGAGGATGAGCTTTCTGTCGACCACAAAATCAAACTTCAACGTGAATTGTGGTGAAAACGTTAGACCAAATGTTTCAATAAAAATAAATAAATTTTAGTACGATATAAAAATAAATTTAGTTCATGCGTTGTATGAACGAAAATGCCCCCACCCTCAAAAAAAATTCTAAGCAATAACGGTATTTTTTAGCGACTTCAAACTAGCACTTTACTACTGAAATTGAATGGGCTACAAAATTGCATACTCAAAATCTTTCATAGAAATCTAATTTAAAAAATCGAAATTTCGATGAAAATTGTTCAAGTTTAAATAATTTGTGTGATCTTTGTGCAAGCTACCAAACTTTTATTTATGCGGTTTCTGATACAGATCGACCCATATTTAAAAAAAAAAATGATGCTATTGTCTTTATTTATTTACTGTTAATAATTTTCATTTAAAATATGGGTCGATCTATATCAGATACCACATATGAAAATAAAAGTTTCAAAGCTTGCACAAAGTTCTTAAAACCTAATCAAAGTTAAAAAAAATTTAAAAAAAGATTTCCAGAATGCAGTTTTATAACCCATTCAATTTTAGTATAAAAAAGTGCAAGTTTCAAGTCGATTTTTTAGATTTTTTTTGTGGAGGGTGTTGCACATTTTCTTCCATATAAAAGTAAGTTTTGTTCATGCGTTATATGGGCAATAAAACTGCATACTCTAAATATTTCTAAGAAATCTAATTAAAAAATCGAAATGTTTTAAGTTTAGTTAGTTTTTGTGAACTTTGTGGAAACTTAGAAACTTTTTTTTTTTGTTATCTGATATAGATAACGTGATGATATCGAATGTGACAATTCGAGCCTTGGTTATGTTGTTGTTGTAGCGGCTACAACAACCCCGCCCAGATCGGTTAGTCCCTCAATCGTTGTCGTCAAGCTTTACTGGCGGTAGCCCCAGGAAGCGTGCAGCCTCGACGGAGTCTGTCCATAGGGACAGGGGCGTCAGTAGGGTGTGTTTCAGTAGGCATGCGAAGAGATGATGTGAGTCATGAAGTCCACATGCCAGGTATTCGTTTAGAGCATCTTGGTTTATTCGGCTCAGGTATGAGTTCAACCTGCTACAGTAACCAGAGCGCAGTTGGGCTATTGTGGTCCGAGTCTCCCGAGGCAGACGAAGTTCTATCTCGTCCACGTATGGTGGTTGTATGCGCAGAACGGCATTCACAGATCGAAAGTTTGTGAACGCCGTTTAAGGCCTGTCGATAAGCTATCGGGTCCACAGGTTATTTGATGAACATCCTGACATGCCTGGGCTAG